AGTGCAGCAGTTGTTCACTGTAAAGACTGCCATGAGCTGCAACACAGTAACTGACCAGAATGGCTCAGTTTGAACTACGAACAAAAGCCATTCCAGGACTACTTTTATACAGTTGGGTTAGAAACATCTGAGAAAGATGATGTTGCCAGATTATCTGGCAACAGATCCAAAAAGGAGGCACATATTTAGACTGGCATAACAAAGAAAACTTAGAAGGAGGAGGGCAACACATAACATGGCAGACTAAATCTATGGACAGAGCAGACATGGTGCACTGAACCAGCCACACTCCTATTCTTGTAGAACAGAGAACACTTTGGAACAGTGAATGAGGTTTTTTATTGAATTTTGCACCATTCGTGTCCTAGGACAAGAAAGGTTGTGTTCAGCACTGTGCAGAACTTCACATCTGCACTAAGCAAGTCTGCAGAAGGATACTGGGGTTCCCAACTCTGTCACTGCTCTAATATTTTATGGTTAGCAGGAAGCATGGGAAAAAACTGAATTCTCCTCAAGAGAATCTCAATATAGGGAATTAATTCACGGACTTAATCAAAGACACAGACTGATTGAAATTAAGTTTACAACTAAGCAGAAGACCAGATGATCTGTTCTAGTAAGCAAGAGCTAATATTCACAGTAAATTTAGCTCTACAACAAACCAAAGAAAACGGTGAGATTTATCTTAGCCATTGCACAAGCATCAGTGGCAACAATCAGGAAAACATCTGCAAATGATGGGTCAAGGCTGTGACCATGTTTATAGAATCAGAGAAGAACCTAGGTTGGAAAAGACCTTCAAGATCATTGAGTCCAACCATTAACCTTACTCTATCAAGTCCAGCACTAAGCCATCTTCCCAAGTGCCACATCTAGACAACATTTAAACACATCCAGGGATGGTGACTCAACCACTTCCCTGGGCAGCCTGTTCCAATGTCTGCTTCTCTCCTGCAACACAGGGACCAAGGGAAAAGAGAGCCATATCATTCTCTTCTACATGTTCCCAAAAACATTTGTGTCAAATGCCCATACGATTTATAGATAAGTGAATCACTGGAACAAGTAAGTGGAATTCCCCATAGAGCTGTGATTCTTGCCAGCTCCCACAGGCATTTACACTGCTTACAGGCAGTGGAGTTTTACTGATGTTGTCTTCTGCCTCTCTAACATTCCCATATTTTCAGTAGTGGGTGCATCTTTTTTGCCTTTAAAACAGGATGGAGTGAACAGATAACTGGTTAATCTCCCTCCATTTCTACTGTATTTGGTGAGCATGGCTGGCAAATGATTTTGCTGGACCAAAATATTCTACAAAGTTGTTAGGAGGAAAAAAAACCTATGCTGAAAGTTAGTGAAAGAAGCTCTTCCTTTTCTGAGCTAAAATCTGAGGTGACCAGCTGTAATGGCACATACAAATGGATGGTTCACAATGAGAACAAGGTATACAACATAAGTCAGGAATCAGAAAAATGCCTCAAATCACCTTTCTGCTTTTGTCCAGACAAAAAGCCCTTACTGCAACACTAAGCTCTTAGAAAGATTACTTCACTGTGATTACCTTGGCCATAATGTGCATCTAAATACAAGTCAAACACCCAATTACAGAGCAATAGCCCATAATTAGGGCTGAGATTTAATGAAGGCACGTAAGGATAATTCAGAAAGCTGTCATTTCACAAAGAGCAACAAATGGAAATAAAATTGTTTTGCACATAGAGTAAGCTTTATTTTATTGGAGTAGCAGCGTTATGTCAGTGTGTTCAGTCCAGAATCTCCATGGTAGAATCAAATGCCTTGCGGCAAATGGATAAGAACCCATTCAACAATAGGTTTGCTTTATACCCTGTGTGCAGGCAGGACAGAAAAGCAGCCCGCCTTGCAGAGGTGTCCTTCTGCCTCGGAATCACTAGAGGCTCAGGTCACTGTAGAAGAGCAGGACATGCTGCAATGCAGTTTGCAACAAAAGCAGTAACAACAAAACATAATGGGGAAATTAAAGCAAGTGCAAAATGTGCAGAATTCTTCAGGATTGGTGCAGTGTTACTAGTATAGCTCACACTGAAGCAACACACTAAGCATTCATCTAGAAGAGTTTACAACACAGAACAGCAGTAATTAGGTAATCACTAACTACTAACAGACATTTCAAGGAAAAACCTACCACTGTGTCAGAATCACATTTCCCTCCTATGACAATGTAACAAGTCCAAAGAATATGGAACCAGCAGTGCATGCAACATCTAGATTTCAGCAAGGCTTGTGACAGCATCTTAGGTGCTATTTCCATAATCAAATTTAGAAAAAAAAAAAGTGTATTCAGAAGCAGCTTACAATGGTGTATACAACTAATTGAAAAAAATACTCAGAATTGATCACTGTTATACTGGAACAATGTATCAAGTAATATCTTTCAGAGTTCGTCCAGAGTCCAACTACATATTCAATAGTATTATTAATTACCTATACAATTTAATATATGGCATCATTATTAAGGATCATGTTACTGTGGGTGGAGTTGCAACCCTATTATGCTACCAGAAGAAAAATCAAAACGGTCTTGACAAATCTCGGGGGGACACACTGAGTAAATTTCTTCCTATTTGTTTAAATAAAGACTAATGTTATGTGCACTTCAATGGGAAACCTCATCTATACAAGATGGAAAACATTTTTGCTTGCCAGAAGTTCTGCAGAAAGTAGTCTGCAATATGCGTCAGAGCAATAATGTGTTAGAAAGCTGTGCAACAACAACATACTTAAATGGCAAGTTTCACAGGTTGATGTACAAAACAAGAGTTATCTTTGGTAAGACAGGTGAAGCAATTCTTCCCCCTCTAGTCAGCACTCGCCTTAGTTAGAATCTTATGTCAAGTTTCAGGAATCACATTTCTAGAGAGATATGAATCAATGGGAGAGAGTCCAGGGAAGGGAAAAAAAAAAAGAAAAAAAAAAAAAAAAGAAATAAGACTGGAGGTCTAGAAAACATGACGTATGAGAAAAGATTGAAAGAACCGGGTTTGTTTAGTCTGAAGAAAAAGACGACTAAAAAGAGACATGATAACAGTCTTCAAATATGTAAAAGATTGTTACAAGAAAGTAAAACTACTTTCCACATATACTCCAGAAAGAACTAGAAACAACAAGCTAAGAGAGCAGTAAAGCATGGTTCTTCTAATGTCTAACTGACAGAAGAATTAAACATTTGAAAGATTGCCACTAGGGGCTGTGGAAGCATTAAAGATTTTAAGAATAAACATGCCTGGAAACCAGCCAAGTATAAAAGGTTTTCACAGGGCTGCTGAGCAGACCTATGACTTCACAAGGTCTTATTCAACACACTTTGACTCAGTGTTATAGGCATAAAGCTTAATTCCTTTATTGCTATTTGTGACCACCCATTGAGTTTAGAATGACTAGTCTCTTTATTTTCAAAGAAAAACTGTTCTTTCTAGGACTACAAGAAATGCTCTGCAGAGAACGAAAGAACCACTGACGTTCCTCAAAACTGTCTTTTCCGAACAACAACACAGCAGGAGACAAGCACTGTCACTCATTATAGATGAGGAAGAAGCTGTAGAATTGAACTAGGAACATGATAGTTTTCTGCATTCAGTGCAGTTTACTTATTAAAGTGGTTTTCTTCTTGTGTATAAGATTTACTCTGTGAGAGGCCTGGCTAGAAAAGATGCAAGAACTTATAAAAAGGAGAGATGATGTTAAGGCCAAAATAAAAAGTGACATCACATACTAAACTAAGAGCAACAAGTCTTATGGAGAAAACAAAGCTTGATAACTCGCTAACGTGACTTTAGTCATTCTGAATATTGCAAATAAATAAATTTACCAGCCAATATATTAATTAGGGCAAGTTACTGTAGAAGGTGGTTACTACTCCTCTTATGCTGTACCTCCACAACTACACTCTGATGCAAAGCAGCTATGTCTGCTGAAAAACTGCTACTAAGGTTCTTCACATTTTGTAAAGACCTCAGCTTGTGAAAATTGCTTCTTCATCACTTTTGGAACAGGCTACAGCTGTTAGTCCACAGGATATGCTGTCAGGCATCTTTGCACTCCCAGGTCTTTAGAGGAAAGGAGAAAATTGCTACAAAACAGTAAGTCAAGAGACCAGATGGATGCTCTTAAGAAGTTATATACACTTACAGATAGGGTTATGCAAAAAGAAGGCAACGTAATACATTACAGATATTCCCAAGACTGTGGCAGCTAGATATTTCTTCATGTTTCCTTAAAAAAATTAACTCAAATTAAACTATAACTGGACCCTAGCTAGGCTTCATTTATGTAAAGGTGCAAAAAGGGGGACTATTACTGGTCCTTTTTTTTTTTTTTCCTCAAAGCAACTTGAAGTAATTGAAATTTCTCTAAAAGAAAGCTTAAGACAAACTTCCATGGTGCTTTTGAACTAGATAAAAACAGTTCAGTAAATAATATAGCTTTGGTTTGAAGTTGTGCCTTATTCTTCCTTATCTTGTATTTCTAGGCAAAACTATTCTCTTTACAAAATCATTGCCAAAATGGGCAATTTGTTTTTCATCTCTTAAGTTAACCAGCCACTGTAATGAGAAGAGCCTTTAACTTTGGGTGTGTCACTGAATATAGCTTTTATCGGATATGTCAAAAAGTGCCAGGAAGGGAAAACAAAAGACATGTATGGGGAAAAGGAACACAACAGCTCACTGCCTTTGAAGAATGTCAAATGAGCAGACGACTCATGCGTCACCCAAGCTGCAAGCTCTGCATGGGTGAACAGATGCAAACATAGCACACTCTGGAGAACATCTGGACCAGGAAGCTATGGGAATGGGACAGGATCATATGCAGAATTTATCAGAGAGAGAAACTGAGGTGATTTCAACAGGCAAGTTTGAAGAGTTGTTGTAAACATTCAGACTACCTCTGTTTTTTTACTGCATGCTAAATGAGAGACATTACTACTTTCTCACACCCACCACTCTGAACACAGGAAGGATTACCGATATTTGGATGTTTGAGAAGTCGGCAGATTCGAGCTTCACGTTCCAGTTTCTGGTGATCTGAAAGAGAGTAAGAAACAAGACATTAAGCACCACAACTATGAATTAAGCTCTTGTTCATATTCAACAGAGAGGAACACAGTGACCCAGCAGACAACCAGAGGGCTGGGAACTGCTGGAATACAACTGTCTCCCAAAACTTCACAGACATTTCAGGTGAGGGCTCTACAACCAAGGCTGCAGAGAACCTATGCTTCTGCTACAGAGCTAGCACCAGACTAATACTCCCTTCTTGGATTCAAAGTGAGTAGCAGCAGAGTCAAAGACATCAGTCTCCTGTCAGTCACACATATAGGGAAAGCCATTTCCCACTGACATCCCTTCTGAGATTCACCCGCTTCTCCAAGGCCAGAGAGGAGGAGGAAACATCTCTGAAAAAACAGCTTGCATTAAATGAGAAGACCTGCTGCTACCCCAGGGAAAACACTGGGGGAGAAATGCAGAGGAGGAGGGAGAAAATCCTGCTAGTCAACTGCCCTCACACGAAGTAGGAGACTCTGCCAGCTCCAATGAACTGTAAAGGTAACCACACTTCAGCACCCACAGATGGATATGCTGGTGAAATGCTGATCAAGCATTTTGAGATCTCCAGGCAAGAAGTTCTGCCCAAATGCTAAGCATGCTTATTTCAGCCCGAAAGCAACATCAATTTGACCATGATTGTCACCTGGATTAAAGAAATAAATATCAAGGACAGTAAAAAATGTTTTCTCCTCCCTAAAAATATAACATGCATGAGGGCAAGGAAAGAAGGAGACAGAGCAACTCTGCCTGTCTCAGCCAAGAAGCAGGGGCTTTTTAACCACTGAGACTTAAGACAAGAGATTTTTCACTAGAGCAACAATTGAGTCCTGAAGTTCCACTACAAAGTTCCTCTCAAGTGAAACGATCACATCAGGCAAGCACAACTTCACAGAAAGGATCTGAGGGAGGGAAATATTTTAGGCAGCCCTGGCAGCTGATCAACTGTAGAGCTTTGGGGATGAAGATGCCTAGAAAGAGGTAAGAAAAAAGGACTGTCCTTCCTCCCAAATAACACAATGAGGAGCAGAAGTCCTTACTTCCTCTTTGCACTTCTTCCATAGCAGATCTTCAGCACACAGCCTAAAAAACACACCTTTCTCTGCAACCTCTGAGACGCACAAGTCTTTTCCACAGGAGTTAAGCTCGTTGGGCTACTCAGCCCACCATTGGTAGAAATGCGGCATCCTCCAATTTATAGGAACTCCACTAGAGAACCACTTCACACTGCACAGCTCCGCCTGAGAACAGTCTGTGCAGCTCCATGGTCTCTGCATGGTCTTTCCATTATTTTGTAAAGGAAAGCTTTGGGTAACTGTTCTATTCCCCTTAAGCAGAAAAGGGACACTGAGCCAGATCTCGGCTCAGAACATTTTTCTCTCCCAGGCTGGGAATAGCAGCTCAGCTCAGGGTACTGCAGGATTTCTGTCTTTTTTCCCACTGCTGAACTGTAGAAAATGTCCCAATTAATATTTTATAGGGCTGAGATGTGCTTACATCCTCATCTGCTACTGTTCAGGAATGGGGGAAGGTAAATTACTCCTTTCATCTCTCCTTTGTTCTCCATCCTGAAAATTATTATTGTCTTGCATCTATTTTACAGTTCTATGCCAGAACCACTCCAATAAAGTAGCAGGAAGCAAGAAAGCCTGGAGAGCCTCCATGCTCCTTAGGCCTTGGAGCAGCGCACGCACTTTCTGCATTGCTGGGGAGGGGCAGAGGTGTCTTAGCTTCCCTTTTAGCAGCATCTCTCACAAATTAAGTTTTGCAAAACACAGTTGCAAGGTAACGGACTGCACTCCATACTCTGCACTCAGGCCAGATTCTCACAGCAGAACAGTTTAAGACAAACTAGCCATCATCCATGTCCACGCCTAGGTCTTGCAAATTCCCCACTTATCCTCCCAGATCTACTTGGAACTCCTACAGAAGGGGATCCTTCATCCACTCAGATCACGTTGCCCTCGTGCACAGTTACACTTGCTGAGAATCTGTTCCCAAGTACAAGGACACAGGGAAGTAGACAGCAAAAACAGCTGAGCAAAGGGGGAAGGAGAGGTAAGAGCTCACCACGTGCTACTCAGCCACTGACTCCTGACAGCCAGGACAGACAGCTGACAGGAGCAAGGCTCAAACAAAATGACATAACCATCAAAATGCCTCGGGAGATGTAAATCAAGAGCAATTGCTCTCCTGAAATCCTACACCATCATGCAGAGGGAGGGGAGCGGGCAGGGCCACACCAGAACTTGTGACAAGAGGTCATCACCCCACACCCCATCCCTCCAGCACCACACAGCCTGGCTAGGGACCAGAGGAGGAGTAAGTGCTCTGGTCACAAGGTACAGGAAACTATTTCTGGTCAGGGGAAAGGCATACCACACTCTTCTGTCTCCAGGGTAACAAAACAGGCAAACTCAAGCACAACTCACAGAGAGAAAGCACACTGTGGCCCCAGGAGCACCAGCCCATAGCAGCCAGGCATGACAGCCCAGAGCAGCAAAAGGTCAGGCTGAGCAGGTTTCCTGCCCTGGGTCCTGGAGGATCAGGGATCCCATTCCTGTAGGGTCACCTGTCCCCATTGCAAGCACCACCAGCCCAACCTATGCCTAAATGCATAAAGAATAAACATGTAGTTGCAATTTTTCTATCCTTCTCTGTTCTAACAAAGGTTATTCCCAAGTAGGAGAAGGAAAAAGGTTCTAGGAATCCAGCAGAGCAAATGCTGGGCTTTAAGATGTCTCTTACAGAGAGGCTCATCAAACCTTAAAAATCCAAAGTATTTATATCTAAATTAGAATAATTATTATTAAAAAACCAACATGGATTCAGATCCCTGCCTTACAAAGAGATTACAAAACAAATAATTTCTCCTTCCTCTGCCCAAAAGATCAAATTATTTTTGCAAGCCATCTAAGAAGTTATGGTCTTTACTCTTAGAGCACAGCAGAAGTACACCTTGTACCTAACAGAAACACAGCAACACAGCCTCACCTACCTTACAAGATAGCAGGCCTGGGACATTAGGACTATTTCCTGCCTTTCACAAACTACAAAATTCAACCATAACTTGCCTAAGATATAGTAAATCCTTTAGAAAACATAAGAGTTCATGTTCAAGAAGTGATAAAGAAAGCCATACACCCACAGAAGTTACTATGAATGTTAGTTATCCTTCCTGTTAAAATTTAGCACTGCTGTTCCAAGTCTGAATTCATCTACCTCCTGCTTCCAAATATCTGATTTCATTAAGCTCTTTTCCTGCTATGTTACAGAGCTGTCTAGCCCAAAACAATAGCTGATGCTTAAAACTTAAGTACAGGATATTACAAACACTCATCTAATATTAATTTACTGTTTTCCAGCCAAAAAAGAGAATCTTGTTATTTGGACAATCTACAATCTGAAGCAATGAGTGTCTATGCAGATAGAAGTGCAGTCTGTATAGCTTATCTGTAGCAAAATTTAATATGTGCTTACGGAGATGGTGCTTAAAAACAGCAGGGCAAAAATTTCTCATGTTTGATACACAAGCTAAGGTGTGAATATCTGTATTGTTTCTCTTTATTAGCCTTTTATAAAAATGAAATTTATGCATCTTGGTTCAGCATGTGAGACTGTATGTAACCGAAGTATGTTTAGCATTATGCTCTGCAAATACTGCTCTAAGTATCATTCTAGTAACTCTAATACTAGGTTTCTCCAGAACATACCTGGAAAGACACTGGCTGCTAAGAGAACTGAGGTTTCTCTGGGTTGGGGTTTGATTTGTCTAGCAATATATCTTAACAGAAAAAAAGAATGATTGAGTTAGCATCACTTGTGAGAGTTAAGGACCTGCAAAATGAAACTGCTTCTTTTCATAAACACATGCAATGCCATTCACTGGGACAGGACTCCTCGTGCACAACCGATGGACAGAAGTGGCTGTGCACAATTAATAACATCACAGCTGCAGGAACCTGTAGCAGAGCAGGTGTACCCAACAGAAATGTAAAACAAAATGCAGACATCCGTATTTCATGAAAGACTGGCAAATTCCAGCAGTAGGGGTAATACAACTAGTTTTATATTGATGTGCATTTCTTACTCTCTTATAAGAAAATCCTGTCATCATCTGGCCACTTCTGTCTGTAACCCAAAAGATGCGGTGGCAGAAATGGATGGATAATACAAGATCAACTTCTAGGCTCCATGCTTCTCCAGGGAATCAGTTCTCAGTTTTCTGCTCTAGCCACTACACGCACAGCTGCTTCACAGCTTTTTCCTCTATAGATCTTTCTATTCCAAGGGCACCTGAGGCCTGGAGGAGAACATTTTCAGGCACACAGATAAGGTAGAGGATATCTACAAATTGCAGTGGTCTAGAGCTGGTAACTGACAACATTTATGTAACAACAACAAAAAAAGTTTAAGAAAAAGGTCACTATTAGGAAGCTGTGCTGAGGAGAAGAGGCTGCCAGGGAAGCACAGGCAGTCTCATGGTACACTTGCAAATAGCAGAATCAAGAAAGACACCTGCAACAAACCCAAAAGGGAGATCAGTCCCAAGCAAGTGGAGCGAAGGTGGAACTTGACCCAGGGAGCAGGGGAAGGTGGTTAGGTATCAGGCGCCAACACTGCCACCCTGCACAGGCAGCACAGCAGGAACCTCCCCTGTCTTTGGACATAGCTGCGATGCCCTGACTCCAGCTCCCATGAGGGGCAGAGAGGGGTTTTGCTTCAGCTGCAGGCAGCTGCCATGCAAATACGCTCTCCAGGCAAAGTCTTGCCACAAGCTCCCTATAGGACAAGGGAGGTTTACAGAGACACACCCTCTGCACCCCATCCCCTCCACCTGTCCAAGGAGCACCAACATTTCACTGGTCCAGGAACAAATGTCAGCAATACTATACCTACTGCAGCTAGTTCCTTCTATAGGCAAGCAGAAGACAGCATTAAAAACTAATTGAAAGAGAGGACAAAAGCCTTTTTTAAGT